TAGTTTATCAGCAAGACAAGAGGAGGAAAGGCATTCTGGACAGGAAACAGGACGGCTCCTCAGTCAACTGCTCCCGTTAGCACAAGTGGAGCATGGGATTCAAGGCAAGGGCAAGTATAAATACAGGAGAGCTACATGATAAAGGCCCCCTGCAATGATTGACCCGTTGCCATAGAACAGTTTCGGGCCATGACAATGCTGAGGGACAGAGGAGAACTACCCTATAGGGTGTGCAAGGTGGAGATCTTCACAGAGGTAAGTTGCATCTTTCCTCCATGGAGCATCTGGCGGGTACAAACGGCCAACCTTTCCCTTAGCAGCCAAGCGCTTAACCACTGCACCACCAGGGCTCAGAACAGACTCGGTAGCACTGAGTACTGCAGATCTGCAACAGGAAAAACCAATGCGGTAGAATCTCTGACGTTAGAACTGTAAATTCACAGGGGCCTCTTTAGGAGTCACTGGGCGGTGCGGACGGTTAGGAACTGGTTGTTCATGGAAAATACGGCATTTTTAACACACCCAGAGGCATCTTGGGGCAAAGGTTTGGTGATCTGGTTCTAAATTACAGTCTTGCAAACTACAGAGGGCAGTTCCCTTTTGCACACACGGGGTTGCCATGAGTCAATTCAATAGCGAGTGTTTTCTTCTGATTTCCCCCCCTTTTGCTCTAATGGTCTACTCATGGAAACAGAAGCCCAGAGAAACAAAGGTCACATGGTCAGCAGCAGAGTGACGATTAGAACTCCCAGACTTATGACTTCCTTTCTAGAACTTGCTTTAACATGACATTCATGATTGTAGGATTTTGAATAACAAAAAGACACTTTGGTACTGTCATTTTCAGCAGTGTAATAATAAAAGAGCTAGAATCTTTGTATTTTATACATCTCACAAGAAAACTGTATCTATTCGAGGTGCACATGTTTGTGCACATGTTTGTCCGAAAGAAATAGTCCGTGCCAGGTAAGAACACCTTCCACCCGGCCGCAAAAGCACACCTGATTCTGTTTTCCTGGGCAAGGACACACGTCGATTCAGACTCCTTGTGACCCCCTATGATCAACAAAACTGCACCATAGGGTTCGTGGCTGTAATCCTTACGAAAGCAGATCACCTGGATGCATTCGGGTTAGCCGCTGAAGGCTTGACCACTGTGCTGCCTACCAGGGCTCCTCAGTCTTCCCTAGGAAGACAGAACTGTTTGCTTTGGTACACTCACCTTTATCTGTTTACCCCAAGTTACTTCCTTCCTCAACTCAGAAGACAATTAACTATCGCAGGGGAAGAAAAAGGACCAAAGATTTCTTTGTCTTTATACAATTCGATGACCAGCTTCTAAGTCTGTTTCCTTTACGCTTAGGTCTTTTGTTTATTTGGTAACTTGAAAATGAGCAGCTCTCATCATCTCCAAGCAAGCAGAGATGGATCACTGATCGGCATGTAACTGTTGCCCAGGTGGCACGGCATGGGTACCGCAAGCAGGGGAGAAACAATACATAAAACACACGGATAACATCATCCTGAGATTGCTGAGGAAGGATTCTGGAGATTCAGCTCCAACCCTAACAAGCCCCCACAACGTTCAGGTTCTTGGAACACTTTTGTTCTTCAATAGTTCAGTTAGTACCCACAGGTGACAACATTGACAAAAACCTTGAACACACTGCGTATTTTTAAAATGTGCACACTCACCCAAAGGTTATAACGTTTGCCCTTCTCTAATGAGCACTTTTTGCAATGCAACGCCAACTCACTGAAATCAATTTAACTAACATATTCGTATAAAAGAGGAGTGGTAGATACTCTTCCATGGCTCCGCAACACCCCACCTCACTCTGAAGAATCCCTCCAACACTGGTAAATTTGATGTGAATCCTTAGAAATACACAAAAGTGCACACATAAAACAAGATGATAATCCTCAAAAAGTCTGTAAATATCTGTACTTAAGACCCAAACTCTATAATTGTACTCTACGAGTACAATTTATAATTTCATTTTCCTTTAGTAATTAGACCATCATCTGGTTTTCCTGCTATGGCAGACAATGACTCTATTATCTCAAACCAAAAAAAACCAAACTCACAGCCATGGAGGTGATTCCAACTCACGGTTACCCTATAGGACAGGGCAGAACGGGCCCTGTGGGTTTCTGAGACTGTAGCTATATGGGAGTAGGAAGCCTTGCGATTAGCAGCCCAATTGGTAACAACTACGCCATCTGGGCTCCTATCATCTAAGAGTTATAAAATAGTGCTGAACCCGAAGAACTCTTCACCTCAGCAACCGGACAATTATTTTATGAATGTACTTTATCGTCTTGCCCTCTTGACGTAGGATGCATGCAAACTGGAATCATTATTGATCAATTTCTCTCACTCACTGCCATCCAACTTAGAAATGATGAACGCTGCTCAATTTTTAAAAGCTACTGAAATGTGCTTAATCACGGGTCTTTCTTCACAGCACTGAGAAAAATAAATAAAAGGTCTCCTTAGGCTGTATGGCTGCAGTTCCCACCAAGTATCTGCTCAGCTGACCAGTTTTGATAAACAAATGCTGATCAGCCATTTTGATCTGACAGATGGCCAAAAAGACATAAGAACAAGGGGAGTTAAATTTAAGTTCCTCCAAAAGTTCAACAGTGCCATGTCCTTGTTTTAAAAAAATATTATTATAAAATTCAAGGATTAGGTTCACAATCCCTAATTTAATTCAAAAATAAAAAGAAATATCATTAAAAAACGAAAAAGGAAAAGACCAAAGTAGACATAATTGTTTGCTTTGATATACTCGACTTTATCTGTTTACCCAAAATTACTGATTTACAGAAATGTTGGGAGTCCTGGCGCCAGACAACCTATTTGCCACATTAGACATCATTTGGCTTCTGTGCTAAGAGGAGGTGCCCACGCATTACTGGGCTGTGATCGCAAGGTCAGTAGTTTGAAACCACCATAGGAGAAAGGTGGGGCTTTATACTCCTGTGAAGAGTTAGTCTCGGAAACCCACAGGGGCAGTTCTTTCTACCCGGCCTGCAGGATCACTGTGAGCCAAAACCGACTCGATGGCAGTGAG